ACTGCTCATCCGACCACGCACATATCTGACCGACGAACGTCTTTCCTACAAAAGTTAATGTTCCAGGTCGAAGGGGTCCTTGGCTCAATGATAGAACGCTGGGCTTCGGCCCAATGACCAAAAAACCGGGGTTCGAAGGCATGGTTATCCAAATCTGGGGTGGAGTGTGGCTGATTGGGGGGAGCTAATGCTGCGAAGCTCGCAGTAAGACAAGAAGAGCGAGATTTTGCTCAAACTGTGCTCTAGGCGAATAGAACGGAACCGAAAATTTGAAATCCCCAGGTTGTGCTCAGACAGTATATTGGGTTCCTATCAAGAGAGACATACCAGGTACTTAGTGACTGTTCTAAAACTGACAAAGGGCACAACCGGATCGATTAGTGGGAAAAAGCAAAAAACAACATTCTCCCCCTGAGTGAAGATAGTCAAAAAGTCCAACAAGGCATATTTTCTCTGATGAGAACCTAGTCTGTGTGTGTTACCAGTTGCTACTATGGAAAGCAAGCTGTGAAATAATTTTTTGTGGATCATATACGTGATCCTGACTTTTAAACTCCTGTGGAGTGCCTATACACTTCATTTGTCATACTGCACCAAACACATACTCGTCCGCGTACTTGTGCAATACCAAGTGACTCATTTTGAGCCCATAAATCAGCATTCTGGTGGCAGTTTTTTCTTCTGCTGACTAGTCAACAATATTTGAACTACAAATTCTCTCGACATCTTCTTGCAGTGTACGCAACGCTGCTGTTTGTCTTCTTGCTATGGCATCGGATAGGTTAGATAATAAAAAGGAATAAAATTATCAGGACGGGTCCCGTTTCTGCAACTGTTTATTCCAATGTCCCTGATGAACCATCCGCGACGGACTTCGAAACGTCGGGCGAATAAAAGTCTTGTCCCAGCGATCGCATCTTCGTCTTCTCCACAAAAGCAGGACTTAGTCAACGCCACTACGGAATGGAACAACAAAGTGCCCACATAAGTGTGGATTCGACTTAATCCTGCTACCTCTGTCCTTTACAAATGAATTTCTAATTTCTGCATAACCGTTTAAGTCAAATGCTATATAGAGTATCAGCTTACCCTATACTGTTCACGGTTATTGTGATGTTGCCATCTTCCTGCGTCGTCATCACTACCTGCAGATTTGCACCCCTCCCCCCTACTTCAACTGTTATAGATGACCTTGCACTATACTTTAGAAGGGTAGGAAGGACGGATTCGATTCTGATCGATTTTTTTTAATATGCACTTAGTAATAGCAAGCATGAAAGGGAGCATCGTGTTGGCTTGCCGCTACTTTTCATTGTGAATGGCTTCAGTGGCTCACAATATTTACAGGTAAAATTGTGTTTTGACAGCTCAAATAGGCACCGAACCTTGACACCTATCAAGCAACTGACCGTTCGACCACTGATTTCGACGATGTCCATCGTATGCTCCACAACAGGGTGGTGTATTGACAGCGGCTTGCATGTGAATTATTTTTAAGTGACTGTGGACTTGCGCAGAATCTACCGTACTTACTCTTTCCTCACCCACCTGAGCCCAGTGTCAAGGCACAGTAAAGAAGACCAAAGGCGGGATCGACAGCAGGTGGCTGGCGCGGCCGAAGCCCACCTTGAGTGTGTCACCACCCCCCTTTCATGTGAGGCATTTGTTATCGGCGCGCAACCCGAATAATGCCTGTCGTAAGCTGATCTGGCCCCATTTTGAGCCTACGTATCTATCACGCAGCCCATTTAGGGAACACTATCAAGCAACCAATCACTAATAAACTGTATGTTTGGAGAAGATGGCAAAAGCCCTTAAGATCTCCACTTATACTGTAAAAGTGTGCATGAAAAGTAGCCAAGTTGAAAAATGTCCAAAGACAAGTTTAGTATGCAGAATGTACAAAACCATTAGTGAAAAATGACAGCGAAAAGCACGGTCACTGCATTTTTACTATGAAATAGAATCAAGTACACGATCCGTACGGTTTAATGGAGATAGGATGGAAAAATGAACGC